AWWAWKGRAAMCMAWWAAAATAATGGAAAAGTTTACAGCAGAACCCTCAGGAAGTTTGACCATATTAATGTAGACTCAGATACATCAATAGATAGATTTGAACTTCATTTTCCCTATCTTCACGGTCACAACGTTATAATAATAAGAAAAACCATTAGTTGTCAATATCATAGGAAAAACAACATGTACGTGAAAAATGCCAATGTAAAGAGTTCACTTAGAATTAATTATCAATAAACATTTTAAACGGCTGTTTGACCAACTTTATTTTTGTAAATAACCGCTATAGTATGTGGTGTATACTGCTCTAATTCAGTTTGCCTGAAGATGATTTACCAATTTTTAAACATCGAAATATGAAAATGAGGCTGATCAGAATATCTTTCGTTGTAAGCAGAAAATGTTGTGCTTTAGTTAGAAGTTTTCAAAACATGCATTTATTATTTCAGGAAATAATATTGAAAAGTGTGAGGAAATTCTTTGGGGTCGACTTTTACCAAACAACGAAAATAGGACTTGATTCAAGGGCGGGGGAGGATGCTGAATGATTTTTTTTWATGCCAAATTCATGCTAAAATTGAATTCACTAAACAGCAACTATTTTATCCTCCTGTAACATATTATTGAAAATTACTCTTTCAAAACCTTTCCCCTAATTTAAGTCTATTCATTAATTCCAAAAAATAGATTATATTATCATTTCAAAAGGTCAGGAATTTTGTTCTTTTCTCAGTTGTTCTTGCTTATGYACAGAAAGAGCAGCAAGTCTTTCATCGCGCCATTTTCTGCGTTCGTTGATTTTCTCAAGAGGGACGTCTCGGTTCAAATCCTCCTCGATTTTATCGAGCGTTGAGCCTCGAAGGGGTCTTGGGCCACCTTCCTCTTTGCAGACAGTTTCTATATTCTCCCCATACCTCTCGCAATAATCTCGAATTCCTAAAAACAGATAATATAAGGAAATACCCATCAAAATATGTGGCACTATGTAACGGACTCCCGGCGCAGTCATGGTATAGTTAGTTATGGTGTGTTTAGTTATAATGTGTTTAGTTATGGTGCAATTCCTAAGAACAGATAATATAAGTAAATACCCATCAAAAAATGTGACACTTTGGGACGGACTCCTGGCAAACGCAGATAATTTAGAATATTTTCTCCTATGTTTCGAACGGAGTTTGTGAAATATAATCTGATAAGCCTTTTCTGTGAAAAGTTAAAATTTGAGCGGCCACATTCATGAGCTTGCTACATAAATTATTCTTACTGTTTAATGTTTGTAATATTCATCTAATATTTTTATATATAGACGAAATTGTCAATTTGGACACTTTGTTATGTTTTCAAAACGAGGACAAACTTAATTGAAGTATGAGTACAGGGCTTCTATGCAACAAAAATGTGTATTTTCTTAGTTCTTATAATGGTGTTGTTGTTTTTAATGTTGTAGTAAGTAATTGTGTTGTTAGAAATGGTGTTGTTGGTAATGGTGCTTTAGATACAGACTTTTTGGAAATGGTGTGGTTGATGATGGTCTAGTTAGTTATGGTATAGTTAGTTATGGTATAGTTAGTTATGGTGTAGTTAGTTATGGTGTAGTTAGTTATGGTGTGGTTAGTCATGGTGTAG